TTATTTTTGAGACAGAGAGAGACACAGCATGAATGGGGGAGGGGCAGAGAGAGAGGGAGACACAGAATCGGAAGCAGGCTCCAGGCTCTGAGCCATCTGCCCAGAGCCCAACGCGGGGCTTGAACTCGCGGACCGCGAGATCGTGACCTGAGCTGAAGTCGGACGCTTAACCGACTGAGCCACCCAGGCGCCCCTAAGCTTATTTATCTTGAGAGAGAGTGCACACAAATGGGGGAATGGCAGAGAGAGAGGGGGAGAGAGAGAATCCCAAACAGGCTCCATGCTGTCAGTGCAGAGTTGGATGTGGGGCTCCAGCTCACAAACTGTGAGATCATGACCTGAACCAAACTCAGGAGCTGGACACTTAACTGACTGAGCCACCCAGGCATGCCTGAATTCAGGTTTTAATCTAGTGGCGTTTCAGATCTTGGGAGCAATGCCTTTTACGCTTCCCTTAATCCTCCTCTCATCCCCCCCCCCAAAAAAAACCCCGCTAAAATGAGGTGATGACCTAATGGCATTGTCAGTGTGTATTTATAAGCAGTGTGCATGCACCTTCTCTGCTCCCCTGGTAATGCAGTGGTGATCAAAAGCAGAATCACTCTGAAGAGGGTTGAGGCAGCCAAAAGAATTGTCTCGGCTCTTGCAACTCAAGTGAGGCACCAGAGAAGAATGTTCTGTCTCTCCATGCCTCTGAAAGGAGTGGGTGAAAGACAGAGACCCTCTAATCTGAAGGACTCCTGACCCCAGCTTGAAGAGACAGGACGCTGTTTATCTGGCCCTCAGAGCTACGCTGAGAATCTGTGTTGCTTGCCTTATTTTGTCAGTGGGCAGGCAGGACCCAACCCACACCCGCACCTCCTGTCTGTCCTCCTAACAGCCGACTCTTAAGTGCGCTATTTACAGACAAGAGATGGGGTAGCCTGAAGGCTTGCTTCTCTTTCCCAAGCCTCATTCTTGGGAAAGCTTGGGAACGCCTGGGCCACTCTTACTCCAGATTCCTGTTCCGTATCACTCAGTTTGTCTCCTGGAACCCAAAATGTTGGAGGCCCAGGCACAGGAAGTGATTTACTAGCTAGGGACACCTCTTCCAGCGAAGCTGTGTGTCTGTGTGTCCGTGTAAGTCTGACATTCTTTCTGCCTCCTAGGAGGGCAAGGGCCTAGGGGCTACGGTTGGGAGGAAGGGGAAACTAAACCACAAACACTGCCACCTTCCACCTCCATTGCTCTCTGGCGTGGTCTTTTGTCCTGACTGACCTAGAGGTCCAGAAGCTCATCTGGGGAGGCCCAATGGGCTTTTTGTTAAAGTGACCACAGAGGAGATTTGAGTGTACTCACTGGGGGCGGGGGCAGTTCCAGCAAGCTGGGAGGAAGCAGTAATGGCAAGATGACTCATTCTAGGAATTGGCTGCAGCTTCTGGGAGGGAGCTGGAGACCGCCATGGTATCCATTAACCATTTGTCTACTGCAGGGGGTTAGAACCACCACATGCTTCACTGTGGGGCTGTAATAACACCAAGAGACAGAAGAAAGAGGGGACTTTGTAGAAAATACATGGCCTCTACAATGTGTATCTAATTGATGATTTGACCCCAAGTGAATTTTCTGGGTCAGAAAAAAATTAGAAGCAGGTTTTCTGGAGGCTCTTGGAAGGGCCTTAAGTCCTCTTGGATTGGGAGCAAGGATGTCCCCAAGTAAAGCTGGCCTATTCATTGAGGCTTCTGAGGCCAGTTTTTTATTTGGTTCTTTCCCACTGAGTGCTGGGCCTTAGACTTTTTTTTTTTTTTTTTTGCATTAAAAAAATTTTTTTATGAATATAGTTTGTTGTCAAATTGGCTTACATACAACACCCAGGGCCCGTCCCAACAAGTGCCCTCCTCAATGCCCATCACCCATTTTCCCCTCTCCCCCAATCCCCCATCCACCCTCAGTTTGTTCTCTGTATTTAATAGCTGAGACTTCTTTGTATACCCAAGTTTCTATGACTTGGTCACAGATAGGTTTTACCTTAAGTGACCCATCTGGAGAAGTTTATCATTTGAGGATATGTAGTCGTGGAGAAAGGTCAGGGAGGTGAGGTGATCTTCAAGGGGAGAGAGACAGTTCTTACTTACTGGGACTGAGAATTAAGTTCCAAAGGCCTTGGGTCTCCAGTTTGGTTTGGAAGTTAATTAACTAGATTGATTACTCAAAATCAGACCTATAGAGAGGATTGTCAGCAGTGTTCTGAGCACCTTGGGAGTGCGAAAGGGCAGGGTTGTTTTATTGCACTGAGTTTAAACCTCATATTGGCCCCCATTCCCTTATGAATAGAGAGGGTTCCGTCTATAATCCAGTTCAGAGCTAATGGGCTAGGGATGAAGCAAACCAATTTAGGAGTCTCTTCTTGCAAATGAATGAAATTCTGTATAATCACACCTGCATTTTAGACAAACAAGTGAAAATAGCTTTTGTTTTCTGGAGGGATTTGGTTAATATTTGCCAGATGTCGGATACATTTCCTTTCACAGTTTAAGCTGCTTCTGATAGACGCAAAAAGTTAATCATTGCCTCTCTGAACTGTAGCTTGTTAGAAGAGAGGGGAAAAAAGTGTGTGTGTGTGTGTGTGTGTGTCGGGGGGGGGGGCGGGAGGAGGGGGGTGTAGCCCATTTCTATTCCAAAGCTATTAGTTGGCTTGGTTCAATTTTTCTGTAAGACCGGAATCTGTGTTAGCATAATATTCTTGACTCTTCCACACTTGGGGTATTGACTAATTGGGGGCATTTTCTGAAAGCCTGAGAAATCAATGCTTAACATCTCTCTTCCTTTTTTGTTTTCCTTGCAGGAGGATATGACAGCTTCTACTCAGAATATCCTGAGTGTTGCGTGGATGTACAACCCATTTCACAAGAGAAGGTTGAAACCGAGAAAGCCCTCATGAACCAGTGTGGGAAACCAGTGCTCAGCATCAGCTACAGGCCGGCTTATGACCAGGTACGTGGTGTGGTCTTGGCTGCTGACTCTGTTCCTTCCTCGGCACCCCAGCTCTTCCTCTCCCCGCTCAGCAGCACCGGTTCGTTCTTTTGTGGATCAGGGTTTTGGGCAGAGCCCTGGAGCTTCAGAGAGCTGTTACTTGCCAACTTGAGTTTCCATCCAAGAGCCCATCCAAATGGGCTTCTTTCCAGCAAACAAGCTGACAAGAGCAAACGAGCCACAGGATGCTTGACAGCTTCTGGAGAAAAGGGGAAGTGAAAGATACATTATTATTAGCTGGCCTAGGAAGTGCAGAGAAGCTTCAAAATATCGGTTTAGGTTTCCCTGAAGGTGTTTCAGAGCCGACTTTCAGGCTTCCTGTGTTGATCTTTCCTGATCTTTTCCTGAATTGTTCATGCTCTGCAGTTTCTACAAACCAGCCTAGTACCTGTCAAAGTGTGTCTTGTTATTTTTAACTGAAATGGGGCTGGGGGGGAGGTTGAGGGAGGGTCGTGGAGAAACAACCCTTGGGATGGCTAAGCAGTCTCTAAGGGTTTCTGGTGCTTACAATTCCATAAATTCAGAAACCAGAGCAGATCAAGAGATATTATAGAGGATTTCATGCTCATACAAATGTGGGGGGGGGGGCGGTTTCCTTCAAAGAATTTATACCTTCTGACAACTCACTAAAGGATGAAAATGTGGAAGGCTCAGTCAGGGGTTACCTACAATGTTGGAGGATGGGCAAAAGGTGGGCAAGGTCCCAAATCTGGCAGAAACCATAGATCAAAGCCCACCTTCCCATTTTACAGAGGGAAAAAAACTTGTCTCACAGCTGGTGAAATGATCTGTCTGCAAAGAATCCTGGCAACAGTAGGCCCAGACCTCCTCCCTTCTCTCAACTCTGGTTCTTTGCAAGACCTTGTTCTGTTTTCTACATGCCTTCTTTTAGAAAGGGGCCATCCTAGCCACCTGACCTGGTAGGAGGAGCTTCTCAAGGCTTTCCCACAAAATAAGAATATATCCAGATCATAAAAAGGAAGACGTCTGACTGTTGTTTAAAGTGCCAGCTGCCTAGCATGAGCAGAGCTTTGCCCCTGCGAATAAACTTCCCAGTAAAGCCAAGTGACTTCCCTTGAATGGGATCCTGGGTCAGGGAGCCCATTAGCTTGGCAAGGTGCCACAGTTATTATTTTGTTTTTCTTTATTGAAAATACAGCGTATGATGAACTCTCAAGCTTTCAAGCCATGGGCATGCGGCTTAGCTGGATTCCTATTTTTGTTTGTTTGGGTGGTGTTTTCCCCTCACTTCTCAGAAAGTGAAAGAGAAACAAGAATTGGCAGGATATCATGAAAGCACAACAGACCTTTGGCCGAGAGGACTGGGGAGGCCCTGATGTGTCTCCAGGGTTCATCTGGGGAACCCCCTCGTGCTATTTCTTAGAAGCGCTTCTGCGTTGAGAGAAGCCAAGCCAAGGTCGTGTTAACCTTTGGGGTTTCTTCCTCTTGAGTCTAAACAGGATTCAGAAAAGCAAAGAAACGTGGTTTCAGGAGTGTGTTGATCTAGGCTATATAAGTAACTGGATGAGATCCCAGGCCCGGTTTGTCAGTGTTTTCCAAGGCACTAAAAGGAGAGAGAGAGATCTATGTAGGTGTGTATAAAGTATTAAGTCCGGGGCCAGCTATTGTAGGTGCTAATAAAATAACTAGTTGTTACTTTTACTATCCTTTGTAAAATCGTCCATAACTTTCTTCTGATTAGCCAAACTGACCTTTGCCCAAACACTTGATTTCTCTGGAAAGAAAAAGCACACACTGCATGATGGGTAATTTGAGAATTGCCTGCTGCTGTCCTTCATCCTATGCCTCTTTCCCTACTGTGGATCTGGCTGAGTTTCCATTCGACTTTATTCCAGGACAGGAAGTGGAAACACAGGAAGCAGATGGATGATATGGGAGAGGCTCCCAAAGACGTAGCCACTGTCCCCCCTCAAGCACAGTGTTTCCCTCTAAATCGGGGAGGGGGGGCTCCCATTGTTCCAGTTTTGACTGGCTTGTCTTGCCACCCTGGAGATGCTAAGACTGCCACAGTCTAGCTGTTCCTTTTAACTTTGCCTCAGGGGAGATGGTCTCTGGTTCTAACTGGGATCCTCCTTAACGGGAATCCTGGTGTGTGGGTGGCCTTCCAAAAGGCTGATGTAAGCATCTTTCACGAACCCTCGGCGCTACCTGACAAAGATCAGGTGTGGGAGAAGCCCCTCTGCACATGGCTTAACAGCTTTTCTTTAAGGATCCTGGGTAAACAGTGGTTGTTTTCACTTCTAAGAAGCATCCTTTTGGGGGGCACATTTTAACATCGCTAAAACCACATGCACCTTAGGATCAGTGTCCTAGGTTTGATAAGATACACTATAAAATATCAGGACTGTAAAGCAGGGTTCTCATCTTGTTGAGTTTTATCTGCTTCCCTGAGAGAAAAAACAGGGCTTGCCCCAAGGTTAAAAGGCTTGCCCTGGTTCTGTCAGGGCAGCTAGAACTTGGGACATTAGCCTCTCGATTCTTCCCATTACACATAGCTTCTCGTCCCCATCAGCACAGGGAAGCTGCTAGCATTTCCTGCCTCCTCAATCAATACGTGTAAGAAAACGAAAATCTTCGCTGTGTGGGCTTTGCCGTTACTGAGTCACAAGGTAGCAATGTAGGGTAGAGAGTTGGCCAGGGTGGTGGCTCCACCCACACTCCTGGTTGAACTACCCTGGCTCTGAACTCTCTACCTGGAAACCAGAAAGGGAACCTCCCACCCTCCAACAAGTAGGTCAGACTTGTTTTGTTTCCTCTCCTAAATGAGCAAGCTAATCCGATATTCCCTGGCTATCCTTTGCCCCTGCTTCCAGGGCGGCCCAGTTGAAATCCTCCCTTTCCTCTACCTTGGAAGTGCCTACCATGCATCCAAGTGCGAGCTCCTCGCCAACCTGCACATCACGGCCCTGCTGAATGTCTCACGGCGGATTTCCGAGTCCTGCACGACCCACCTACACTACAAATGGATCCCCGTGGAAGACAGCCACACAGCTGACATTAGCTCCCACTTTCAAGAAGCAATAGACTTCATTGGTAGGTTCAGTCATTCGCCCTCCGTTATTTGGGGAGCTGCCTAGGGCACCTGTTCTGGTTCTGTTGTACTGATGGAGGCTACCTTTGCCAAGAAGAAAAACAAGCGTCTTGTCTGTGCAACCACCAGGAGTTGGAGCCGGGAAGGTTTGCAGCCACCAAAGACACAGAGGGGAGGATTCGAGTTGCTATTAATAGGAGCTTTAATTTGCAAGATAAATGAATTAATATCATTTTATGGCAGTACTCACTGCCACTCGTGTTATTTTTTCAAGCTGGGTGGGATGCGGTGTGTCCGTGCGTAATGCCCCACGCCAGGGAAGCAAGGGAAGGAAAGAACCATCCCAACTGTGCTCCTACGTAGGTTGGGGTATTTTTAAAAAGCAAACAGAAGGATTGAGAGAGCACTGCTTAACACGCTGAGCCCCGAGGGCCCTGGCAGCTTTTCATGGTTTTTGGCAGACTGCTTTAGGGGCAATTTGTTTTGCATTTTCAGCTAATTTTGGATTAAAGATAGCATTTGATCAAGCTTCATGCTTTGCGCACAGAAAAGTTGTCATCTTTTGTACGTTGTGTTAGGCAGTTATCATTTCCTCCCCTGTGCAGGCCTGGAAGCCTCTGGCCCCTCTGCCCGGAGAGGGCTTTGGGCCCTGGGTCCCCACCTCTTCAGCATAACCTTGATTTTTCTCTCATTTGACATCTTCCCTTTCCCCCATCCCTCTTCCTTGGCTGCAAGGCTGACTTTTTGCTGTCTCAGACTTGCAAACACCACTCCCCAACCTTGTGGTTTTGCCTTCTTTCCCAGAGTCCTTCTTTCCCTTGAATATGCATAGCTGTTGAAGCTGAGATGTGATTTTCCTTATCTTGTTTGGAGGGCTTTTGGAGGGGGAAAGGCAGATGTTGGCCACATCAATAACTACTTAGTGCGGGTAGCAATTGAAGCCCCCCCACCCTCCACTCCGCCTAGCTTTGGCCACCTGGTGGGCCCAGTGCTCATCGCACATGGTTTCTCCTCTACAGGAAACCCACTGGAAAACTCACCAGAGGCAAAAAGACCATGTCCTGGTCCCCTGAGCCTCTGGCCTGAGATGATTCCTTTGGCTCTCTGAGAGGCAGCCCAAATGATGGGTTGCGAGTGGGAAACCCTTGACTTTGTCTCCCTGACCCTGGGAATGCCTTGCCCTTCTCTGCCAGTTATTTAATTACCTAGATAGCTCCTCGGTGAGGTCATGAAACCCGCCCCCGTCCATTTCTCAGAACCCTCCTTCCCCATCCTGTGTGTTGTGTACATAACCGCACAAACCGACAACATTTTGAAAGCACAGGATGCTTTTCCCCAGACTTCTTGCCCTCCTGGTAAAAGGAGGGACTGAGGCCATACCCTGTGTTGACCTCCTTCCCAGGGGAAGGCCCTGGGAAGGTCACATGGAACACCAGCCCTGAGGGGTAGAGCGGAAGCAACACGCTCTAAGCCCTTTGTTTTCTTGGATACAGCACTGGTCAACTAAAAGCTAGCCTACAAGGAGCAAAAGAAAATCAGGAGCCATGACCCTGCAATCCTAGGGGTTGGGGTCCCCTTTGAACTAACTTACAGGGGCTTTATTTCTTTTGAGTCAGACTAAATTGGGGGTACCTCCAATGAGCTACACTGAGCGCGTCCTTTGGGATTTCCGTTCTGCTGGGGAAACTCCAGGGTTCCTCCCTGCCTCCTCAGGAACTTGATGTTTTAGATCTTGCGGATTCATTTACAAACGTCTCCAACTTGAGGAGGGAGGCGGGTAAGGGAGCTGACTTGATTTTCCCTTCGAAACCTTCAGTGTTTTTGTGTACTGTGGCCTCACATAGTGCTAGGTACATCATCGAACTTCCCGGGTCGTAATGTAATCATTTCCTCATTAGCAAGAGAGGGAATTGGAACGGCTGTTTTTCGTGGGTTTTAATTGGTGTGTGTATGTGTGTAACCTTTTGCCCCTCATTTTTAACTATTGTAGTTCTTTGGGGGAGAGGAGTGGAACAGGAAAGGAGGGCACCCCCTAGTCATACTGAGCTAAAAGAATGCTGACTGATGGTGGTAGCTTGATGGCAGTGACTCCCGTTGTTGTGCAAGATGGAGTTTGCGAAAGCCATTTATATCCTCCGGTCTAGTAAGCGTCACTTAGCCAGGGCTATAATTAGTGGCTGTGCACTACTTATTGTATGTTTGGTGGTGGGAACCCTGGGAGCTGAGCCAAGCATCCCTCCCCTGGCACAGCCAGAGAGGGTGCCCAGCGAGGCTGACAAGCCTCTAGCAGGAGAGGACTACTGGGTCATCACCATAAGACTCAGATCCTGAGAGACAGGAATTGCTTTTCCAAGTCAGTCTTTGTACCTGGGACCCTCTCAGAGAAATGTGCCTACCCAATAAATTTGCACGCAATGTCAAGGATTTCCCAATGCCCTCTCGAAACCCATCCACGGGACCTGAGTTAAGATGGCATCTCCAGGAAGGGATGTGAGACTGCTGGACTCCAGGTCTGGCCTGCTCAGGGGCAGAATCTATGCAAGTATCCTGGCGAACAAGGAGGCACCTCTAAGGATAGAAAGGTCCTAAGTGGGGATAGACCTTGGTGGGACCCCAAAAGCTCCGTCCTTGCCAAGGGGCATCAGAGACTGTGTAGGAACCTCAGCTGTCGAACAGACGTGATGTTTTGATAACCAGGTCACTTTTGTGTTTAATGCTTGTATCTTGGCATTGCCTTTTGGGTTCCAGTCCCAACTCATCCTCACTGTCTTTTCTTCCTTCCAGACTGTGTCAGGGAAAAGGGAGGCAAGGTCCTGGTCCACTGTGAGGCTGGGATCTCCCGTTCGCCCACCATCTGCATGGCTTACCTCATGAAAACCAAGCAGTTCCGCCTGAAGGATGCCTTCGATTACATCAAGCAGCGGAGGAGTGTGGTCTCGCCCAACTTCGGCTTCATGGGCCAGCTCCTGCAGTATGAGTCTGAGATCCTGCCTTCCACGCCACAGGCTCCCTCCTGCCAAGGGGAGGCAGCCAGCTCTTCATTCATAGCCCATTTGCAGACATTGAGCCCTGACGTGCAAGGTTCCTACTGCACATTCCCTACCTCGGTGCTGGTGCCAGTGCCCACCCACTCGACAGTCTCAGAGCTCAGCAGGAGCCCTGTGGCCACGGCCACATCCTGCTGAAACCGGGATGGGGAAACAGCCCAGTCCCAAGAACAACTGTGATTCTGCTTTCTAAACTCGTGGACATTTCATACCTGTGCAATACCGAAGACCTCACTCTGTCCCACTGCCCCACTGGGAGAGTGAGCACCAGGCTTGCAAAGGAACTTCACACTGACATCGGGGATAGGTTTTCGGGACCGAAGGAAGGCCAAGCCATCATGAGAGCACAGCGCGTGCCAACTACTGTACTTCCAGACCCCGTGTCCTCTCAGGACCGCCCAGTCCCTGCCCCTCCAAGTTTGCCTTCTCATTTCAAGCGTAAGGCAATAAATCCCTGCAGCAGCATGGGAGAAAGCAGTTGCTAGACCGGGAGAAAAGGCAGTTACGAAGCCAATTCGTTTTGAAGGAAGCACAATTTCCACCTTACTTTTTTAACTTTGGCAGTCTCAGTATCTGTCTCTGTTGCTTCAGGGCATAAGCTGATCACCACCCAGTCGGGAAAGTAACCCTGCAGGGTTTGGAGGGACACGATCTGTGTGCTGCTTTAAACCCTCAGATGTTTTTGAGGCTCCCTCTTGGGGTCAGTAGAGACAGGCGGTTGAAGTAGGGAGACACTGACCTATCTGGGTGTCCTCTCCACCGTGGGTTCTTCCCTGACTTCGGACTTCGCATGATTCTTACTCATACTTGAACCTTTCTCATTGCACCTCTCCTCAAAGCAACTCTTCTTCAGACCTTAGACCAAAAATCACCCCTTCGAGGTGGTAGCAGTGGGTGCCAAGGGAAATAGGGCACCCGCTGTCTGGGTCAGTGGCATTGAAATGGTCGTTTTCCCCAGTTTGCCGTCCTTCATGTGTGCTTGTCTCGTTTCCGGTGACACACGTCTTCATCCCTGCCCCTGGGGGTTGTCTTCAAGCTGTGGACTTCTGGGGTTTACAGATTTTGTAATGTGGTACTTCTTTTTTGTCCGTAGGTTCTTTCTCCAGGGGAAAAGGCAATAATTTCCTAAAATCCATGTGAATGTGAAGAAAAGCAGTATGTTACTGGTTGTTGTTGTTGTTGTTATTGTCTTTTTATAGTGCAAAATAAAAAGAGTAAAAAGAAAAAAAAAAAAACACTTGTTCGTCGTTGGTGAGTTGGGGTAAGGTAGGAATACATTTAGGTGGGGACCCAGCCTGTCTCCCTGGATCCAAACGAATGCTATTTCCAAAGGAGCACCAGGGCAGTGGTGATGCATGTGCTGCTGGAGGCGTGAGGCTGTGCGTCCGCTCATGAGCTGGTGATCTTAACGATACAGAATATTGCCTTCCGACCGAGAAGCTTCCCTGAGCTCACTTGCAAGTCCTTAGGTGAAAGCCACATGGAGAGGAGGTCAGAGCATTCATCCACTCAGGGCTCTTCACTCCCCTGAGTCCAGGCAAAGACTTCGCCTTGAACCTCAGATGCTTCATCAATGAAATGAGCGAACTGAGCTAGATGATCCTGAAGGTCCCTTAAAGCTCAAGGGCCCTTGGTTGCAGCAAACCAAGGCCAAGCTGAGGGCCAAGCTTGTGGTCAGCTTCCTTGTGTCTGGTACATGGGAGACACTCAGAAAAGGTTGAAATAATGGCCAAGTGAATTAGGTGACTGTTCACCATAAGTGCCTACTCCCCTTTTTTACTCTTAGAACTAAATCTTCCAGATAATTCCTTCAATGAGTAGGTTTACAGCCAAGGCTGGATTGCCTTGCCTGCTGAGTTATTTCCTCTGTCGGTGGAGGAAGGAAGGAGCAATAGTGACTTCTCTCCACACCTGAGAAGGCTTCTGCCCCAGCCTAACTCTTCGGGCCTGTTTCCTAGCCAGCACCTGAGATAGAAATTCCCCTGGTACCTAGTGGGAGTTCTTTGGGCCCTCAGGGGCCCAGAGAGGCCACCAGCTCCCCACTCAGGCACCATGTCAACAAATAGCGAGATGGCAGCCTAGCCCGGGGTAGCCCAGCTCTTTGTAAACATCTCAATTCAAAGGCTTTGCTTGAGGCCTTGCTCTCCACAAGCCTTTCCTTTTCCAGACTCCCCCTCCACAGATTCCTTGGAAAGTCCTCAGGTAGGAATGCCACCCAGACTAGAGAGACTGCATTTCTTTCCTTCACTCCATGCCCCTCATCTGCATAATCCAAGCACGGCTTCCACACAAAGAAAGCAGAGTGAAGAACATTGGACAGGGAAGGGGGGGGCCCTGGCTCTCACCCCGCCCCTAACTCCAGCGCTGTGGAGCTAATCTCCAACAATCTCGCTGGACCAAACTTGTCCAGGGCTTGGTCTAGTTGATGCCTGAGTTCCTTCCCAGGCTTCAAATCCCTGACGTTCTGCTCAGCCTTGGAACGTGACCCAGAAGCCTGCCCATTGTGCGAGCCTGTCAAGGTGCTGAGTCGCTGAGGGGCCTCAGGCAGGGAGCGCAGGGGGCCGGGAAGCTGGGTGCAGGCTAGGGTGGTGCGCTAAGCTGCATCGAACTTGCTGACATTTGCTTTATTGCACTAAAGTCTTTCTCTGAAGGGTGAGTAAGTCCTCTAAATCAGGCATGTGAGGATTGTGCCTAAGCTAATGAGTCACCGGAGGGTAAGCCAAGTGAAGCCCCACAGCTGGGGATGGCTTTGGACTCTCACTCCCTTAATAATCTCATTAATTACACCTCCATTTATGTCAAAACCAACTTCACACTGGTTTCCAGGGCCAGGTGGGGAATTAACGCTGCTGGTGCCCGGTTCCTTCATCCCCAGAGTTTGAAGAAACACCCCTCTTGGTCTCTAGCAATGGTCCAGGTAGAGATGTGTCTGGGAGGATAGAGACATTAGTTCTCCCCTATTCTGTTCCCCAGCTGGGTCTGTGGGTAAGCCTCCTGAGTCCACTCTGGCTCCTGAGCTGGGCCTGATGGGGGCAGAAAACGTGTGAGCAGTCGCACACCAGTGTGCTGGCAGAAGCCCCGTGTCCCCACGGGTCTCCTTTGTGTGGCGACCCCGGGGAACATGCTGCCCAGGTTTCAATACCCTCAAAGGCTTTATCTCTCTGAATTGCGGTGGTTTATCTTCGGAACACCGTAAATGAGCCCATCACCGCCCCGTTTCCCTCCTTGCTTAGGCCACTAGGCGGCTCAGAACAAAATGTTTAGCTCACTTCTTGACAATTATACAATTGTCTACAACAACTTTATGGCATGCCTTTTGGGTATTGCCTCCACCCTCTTTCCTGGAAATAAAAATTTCCCAACTTTCTTTTTCTTTTACTTCCATTTCCACAGTGGCTTAACAAGCAAACAAAAACAACTGCTGGGTAGGAAAGATTAAACATCCCACGATGCATTTACAGAATGAGGTGGTCAGTTGATACGTGTGAAGAGAAGCCTGTGTATCTCCAGGGCTCTGCTACCATCTCCTCTGAGGATTCATCCACGGGACTGGGATCCCTTGCCTTTTCAGTAACCCTGCCCAGTTCTGTACTCTTTCTGGAATCAGTCCTGTCCAGAACCCAAGCCCGATGGCTAGGCCCCTCATCCCTTGTCTCTGCCTCTCTGGCACTGCCCTCCACTTTAGCCCTGTATGCTGCTGCTGGTAACTTCTTATGGGAAGAACCCTGGAACAGATGGAGGGATTGCTCAAAGCCGCAATACAGCCCCTCCTGACCTCCTCACACCGGAGGTGAGGGATGTGACTCCAAGCCTAGATAACCATCATTGCTCCATCCACTTAACACTGAGCACCTGCTAGAACCTGGGATTCAGCGGAGGAACAAGAGCCGAGCGGCCCCACCCTCATGGAGTTCACGAGTACTAACGACTTTCACTGGACTTTTTGTCCCAGACTGGAGCTGGCCTCTGAAGTTGGACCAATGTCTCCGGCCCCACACGATCCCCTTGCCCAGCTCCCCTCTTCTGGGGTCCAGCTTTATCTTCTCCCATCTGGTCCCAGCATACTCCATGCCCAAGCTCCCTGGATATGGCATCCTGTACACCTGGCTGTGTTGACCCGTGCTAATAACGGAGCCCTGCCTCGGTGCATCCCATAGTTTCTCTTGTATTGTTTAACTTGTTTTGAACACTGCATTCGTCTTGGCCCCACCTCCACCCTCACTGGAGTAAAAAAAAGAAGAGAGTTTTTAAATTAACATATATTTAAATATTTAAATATGGGGGTGCCTGGGTGGCTTAGTTGGTTAAGCGTCTGACTCTTCAGATGGCTCAGGTCATGATCTCAGGGTTTCGTGAGTTTGAGCCCCGCGTGGGCTCTGCACTGACATCACAGCCTGCTTGAGATTCTCCCTCTTTCTCTGCTCCTCCCCCACTTGCACTCTCTGTCTGTCTCAAGATAAATAAATAAACTTTGGAAAAAAAAAAAAAAGAAGAAGAAGAATAGAGTTCCTATTGAGCCCTAGTCCTTTCTCAGTGATTTGGCTAATAGCAGAGGTATGTAGTAAGCCCCTACTATGCACCACAAACCAAGCGAGGCGGGCACACAGGCATCATCAAATTTAATCCTCACTGCAGCTCTGGACAAATGTTTTTTGTTATCTCCATTTCCAGATGCACAAACTGAGCCTCAGGTATTAGGTCACACAGCTAATAAAAGGTAGAGCGAAGATGAAGTTACTTCACTGCTCTTGTACCCCTCTGTGCACCTGGAATATGCAGGAGATGCTTTTATCCATTGGGCTTTTGTTTGCAAGGAAGGGTCCCCTCGGGCCACATTAAGGAAAAGTGTTTGTGGATAGAGGTAAATAGCATCTACTTGCTCTTGACACACTGGCTTTCTGACGGTCACTAAACATGCCACATTCCCTCCTGCCTCAGGACCTTTACACATGCTGTTTGCCCTTCCTGGAACACATTTCTCCCCTAAATTCACCCTTCAACTAAATAACTCCCACTGGTCTTCATGTCTCAGCTCAATGTTCTCCTTCCCAGGGAGGGTCTCTCAGGCTCCCAGACTAGGTCCGATGTCTCTGTTCATGTCTCCTGGCTCCCTATCTATATTTTTTCTTCATATTTCACCAAAGTTTAAAAATTATTCATTTATCTGTGATTATTCTATTAATGGCTCTCTTCTCCAGACTAGAAGCACCGGGAGAGCAAAGATTATCTTTCATTTCAAGAGGGACCCAGCAAGGGCCTGATTTATAGTGGGTATTCAGCAAGTACTGGTTGAATGAAGCAGTGAATAAACAGCAAACCGGGAAGGAAAAGCCCTTAGAACCCGAAGCTGGGCTCTCCATTTCCCTCAAAGGCTGTGCTATCCTCTACACATAAGCTCCTTGACCCCATGCCATTTGCCAAATCCTCCCCAGACCTAGAGGAAACAAGTTTCCTAGATTCAATGACTGCTACCCTATTGGTCAGAGTTTATGTCACCACATCACCCCAGTGGTCACCGCTCAGTTACTCTAGGCTCAGGTGTCCATCCTGGGACCAATCAGTTTCCTCTACGTTAAGAAACCTGTCTAGACCAGACTCCCTGAGTTGGGCTGTAGGTAGGGCAGTTTCTGCTAGAAGGGGCAGGGATCCTGCCATGCACTTGGCTAACTTGCCATGTAAAGTACTCAATTAATGCCAGTAGACTGAGTATTGGATAAGAAGACTGCCATATAGCTTGGGCACAATGAAACTCAACCCTACCAGTCTTGTCTGACTGCCAGTGAGCACCCCAAGGTGATCAATTATGATACCTAAATTTTATACTATGGTAGTATTTATTTATAATGGTAAATCAAATCGCTTCCCACCTACATACCTACCACTATTCACTTATAAAGTTAACAGAAACTGACAAGCCACTAGGTGGGAGTTCAAAATAGACCCTTGAAGCATCTGTACAGTTTTCATCCTGGGCTTTTCCAGCAGCCAAAAGAAAATGTACTGCTTGGGAGGAAAAACCTCTAAGATAGCAAAGCCTCGAATATATCTCTATGATAGGACGATGAAAAAAATGTATTTCCAGCCTATGAGTAAAAGGACAGTAGACTTAGAATCAGGAAGCTAGCTGCCAGATCTAGGGAACCTAACTACTCAGAACCTTTAAAAAAGATCTTTGAAGGGCACCTGGGTGCCTCGGTTGCTTAAGCACCCAACTTGGGCTCAGATCATCATCTCAGGGTTCGTGAGTTCTCATCAGGCCTCACACTGGCAGTTTGGAGCCTGCTTAAGATTTTCTCTCTCTCTCTCTCTCTCTCTCGATCTCTCTCTCCTCTCTGCCCCTCCCCTGCTCACTCTTTCTCTCTTTCAGAACAAATAAATAAAAATATTTTTGAAAAAGCACTTACAATTGGCAGGCTGCATGCTGGGTATTTTGGGTACTTTCTCTCTCCAAAAGGCCACAAGACCCCAGCAGAGTAGACTTTGTTAGCCCTGTGTACAGATGATAAAACTGAGAGATCACAAACCCAGCCTAAGGTTACGTAGCTAGAGCCCGTGGATGTCAGAGCCAGGATACCCAACCCGCAATGGGCCCCCAAAGCCATACTCTTTCCTCTGCACTGCTCTGTGTTCCAGAAAAGGAAATTCAAAAGCATCTCAGTTGTGTGTCCATGTCTACGTACCTTAAACGTGGTCATGAAATCCGTTTGTTCTTGAGCACAGGGTTTCTAGAGATCTCATTGTAAGAGCTCATTCACTTGACAGCCCTCTCTTTCAACATCACTGAATTGTTAGATTTGGGAGTTGAATTTCAGGCAGGACGTGGACAAACTGGTGTGTTTACAGATAACGGACAATGAAGGGATTGGAAACTGTGTTATATGAAGAAGGGTAAGGAAAGGTAGTGATGCGTGACCTGCAGAGGGGAGCCAATGAATTGTCTCACTGAAGCTGTATAGAGTGGTGTCTGGGAACTCAGGGGCTGGAGTGTCATAAGCCTGAATGTGAATTCCGGCTCTGGCATTTGCTAAATGTGTGGACATGGACAAGTTACCTCATGGCTCTAAGTCTTGAAGTTCTTATCCATAAAAGGGGTGGACTAATTGAGTCTACCTTGTGGGTACAGTTTGAAAGAGTAAATGTGATGAGGAATAATTGTCTACTATGAAGGCAAAGACACAGTAAATCCTCAATGAATAGTGGTCATGGTTATTAATTACAGTAATTACAGCATTGAACTACCCACTGGTGTGAAGGCTGGGCAAGCAGAAGTGGGATTTCTATTGGAAAGGTTGCCATGAGAGGATTCAAGGCTCAGGGCCTTTGCACCTGTTCCTTCCTCTGCTTCCTTCCTTTCCTTCTTCACCTACTCATTTATGAATCTCTGCAGTGCATGATTTCATTTTTTCAGGGAAATCTACCCAGACTTCAGGATTCTGTATTAAATGTTCCCCTGGTATCTATACCTTCCCTTCGGAGTGCTAGCACAATGGGAATTAAATAAGGATGTTCATTCTTTTTAAGTTTATTTTATTTTGAGAGAGAAAGAGAGCATGTGTGCAAGCAGGGGGTGGGGGGAGCAGGGAGAGGGAGAGAGAGAATCCCAAGGAGACTCCAATGTGGGACTCGAACCCATGAACCGTGACCTGAGCCAAAATCAGGAGTTAGATGCTTAACCGCCTGAGCCACCCAAGCACCCTTGATGTTCATTATTTTTAAAAATCAACTTTATTAAGGTATAATTTACATAGTATGAAATTCTCTCATTTAAATGTTATAATTAAATGACTCTTGACAACTGTATATATACAGCAATGTTAACACCATTGCAATCAAGATATAGGCTATTTTCTTCACCTCCAAAATGTCCTTGTGCCCCTTTGTATTTACTCCTTTTTCCCTACCCCAGCCTCTAGCAATCACTAATATTTTCCTTCACTATAACTGTGCCTCTTATAGAATTTCATATAAATGGGATCAGATAGGATGCAGGTTTTTGAGTCTGCATTATGTTACTTAGCATAATGCATTTAAGGTTCATCTATGTTATCATGACTACTAATAATTCATTTCCTGGGGTGCCTGGGTGGCTCAGTCAGTTTAGTGTCCAACTCTTGATTTCAGCTCAGATCATGATCCCAGGATCATGGGATCCAGCCCCGCATTGGGCTCCACACAGAGTGTGAAGCCTGCTTGGGAATCTCTCTCTCTCCTTCTGCCTCTGCTTGTGTACTTTCTTGCTCTTTAAAATAAAAAAAATAAATAAAATAAAAAGATATATAAGTATCAAAAAATAATTCATTTCTTTTTATGCTTTAATAGTATTATATGGTATAGATATGCCAACATTTGTTTATCAATTCACCTACTGATGGACATTTGTGTTGTTTCCTACTTTGGGCTGTTATGGATAAAGCTGCTATGGACATTTGTGGACATGTTTCTGGTCATGTGGTAAGTTGCATTCCTACCATTAATGAATGAGAGTTCCAGTTGCTCTATATTCTAGCTTATAGTTGGTATTGTCAGTTTTGCTGAGTTTAGCCATTCTGGTAGTATGTCGTATGTAGTGGTACCTCACTGGATTTTTTTAGTTTATATTTCTTTCTTTTTCTTTTCTTTCTTTCTTTCTTTTCTTTTCTTTTCTTTTTTTTTTTTTTTTTTTTTTTTTTTTGGTATTCTGGCATTTTATTAAGGAAGGTATGTAAAAATATAGTGAGCTATGGAAATTTTTATAAAGTGATCATAAATTCAAAGACAGCAATTCACCAAATGACAATTTTCAAACACTTAAAATATACAGTTTATGTACCTATTTAGAAATATACCTCAGAGTCTTCACATAAAAGCATGACTAATAATTTTCAAAAATAATATTTTTATCGTGATTTTTCTCCACTAGTGGGAAATTAAAATGGTGACAGAGAAGTTTATTATATCACAATAATTTCTTTCTTTTTTCCTTTATCTTTTATATAAAATTAGCAATTTTCAAATTACCTTTTCTCTATGTATATTCTTATAGAAATAATACTAGAGGAGCTTTTAAGTCAGCCATAGCTAAATGCTATGCCTCTGTGACCAATTATAATATAGAGTTTTATAGTTACCATTTCATAATAGCTCTTTATTGGAATTGACTGACTAAAAGAATACAGTTCTAAATGTCCAATTTTAGTTTATGTAAATTTCAACAAATTTTTAACAATTCTTTTTACCTAATAACGTTTCAGCTTTGGAAGATACAATGGGTTAAGAATTATACTTTTTTGTTACATACATATGAATATTGACTCATATATATATGTGTGTGTGTATATATATATATATATATATAT